CCCTCTATGAGGTGGATTGATTCAGTGACTGGGATAATTGGGATGGGAGTGTAGGAGACAGTGTGATTGGCACAGGACAGAGCAGAGTTTAGGGTTGTTGTACATAAGGTCGCTATGAGTCGCAAGTGACTCGATGACACATAACAACAACAACAACAGCAACAACAACATTCTATATGTGCTTTAAGCAGATAATCCAAGAAGCTGGACTATATGAAGAATGTGGCATCAAGATTGAAGTAAGACCCATCATCAACCTAAATTATAAAGATGACACAACGTTGCTTATTGAAAGCGAAAAGGACTTAAAGCATGTATTTAAGAAAATCAACAACTTTAGCCTTCTGTATGTATTACACTTCAGCATCAAAATACAAAGAACTTCACAAGTGGGCCAATAACAAGATAATAATAACTGGAGAAAATATTGAAGTTGTAAAGGATTTCGTTTTAAAGACTAAGGAACACCTGACCCAAGATATGGTTGTTTCAGTTACTTCATATGTATGTGGAAGTTGGACAGTGAAAAAGGAAAGTCAAAGAAGAATTGGGTCTATATTGGTGAAGAATATTGAGTTTGCTCCTGGTCTGCCAATAGAACACACAAATCTATCTTTGAAGAAGTACTGTCAGTGCTTCTTAGAGGCAAGGCCATTAAGTGATTGCCTACCAATGTTATCAGGAGGAACTAGTCTTTGGGGAAAAAAATATGATGCTTGGAAAACTAGAGGGTCACTGAAAGAGTGGAAGAAAATCTTAACTCCATTCAGAGTTCTACTGAATGTTCACTTTTGTTTTAGATATTTTTACATGTACCTTTCCTGTGCATATGAAATTTATTTTTATGTATAACATACGATGAAGATCTGAATTAAGAGGTCCCTTTTACATTGATTTAGGAAACCTTTATCAACTATTGCATTCTCTCTATCTGGCACCTATTCTGTTACATGGTTCTATGTGTTCTAATAATTTTTTCTCATTATTTCCAAAGCTACCTAATAAGACTGTATAATGTAGAAGTTAATATTTCATTTTTTAAGGTTTTTAATTATTTTATTTGTTATTATTAAAGTGATTTTTGAAATTTGTTTAACTTTCCAATTGATACATGTGGAAAGAAAATACTTATATGGGGATTTCCCCCCCCCCTTCTTTTTCTCCCTAGATTTGGCTAGCTGAATGGTTACTGGAAAATAATTCCAACAAACCTAAACTTAGTCATCGCCAAGTTACAGAAGAACCTTATTAAAATAAAGTCCTTCTAAAGAACAAATCACATTCTTTCTTATTACATATTGATATGCCTCTACTCCCCCCACCCCAAGTTTGATTGGCCATCCACTTCCGAAATAGAATAAGGCTTCAAAAACTCTATGTACAATAGAGCACACATAGAGTAAAAGAATAGATATGGCAACTGAGGCTGAGCCCTCAAATTTGGAAACCCAGGGAGAAGGAACAGTTTTGTAAGCACAAACAAATGATTGGAATGTGGAATGTGAGAAGCATGAATGTAGGAAAACTGGAGAGCATTATGAAAGAAATGGAACACATAAATATTGACGAATTAGGTATTGGCAAAATGAGATGGAGTGGCATGGGACATTTTCAGACAATCATATGATGTACTGTGCGGGAGATGAAAAGGTGAGAAAAAAATGGGGTTGCTTTCATAGTTAAAAAGGATGCTTCTAGATCCATCTTGAAATGCAATGTGTGAGTGACAGAATAATATCCGTATCCATAGAAGGAATACTTGTTAATACCACTATCATTCAAATTTATATACAACCAGAGCCAAAGAGGAGGAAATAGATGACTTCTACCAAGTTTTACAGTCAGAAATCAATCGAAAATGCAACCAAGATGTAATAATAATAATAATAATAGTAGTAGTAAGTGACTGGAATGCAAAAGTTGGGAACCAGGAAGAAGGATCAGTAGTCAGAAAACATGGACTTGGTGAAAGAAATGAGGTTAGGGATAGAATAATAGAATTTTGCCCAATGAATTATTTATTCATAACAAATGCCTTTTATAAGAAATATAATGCACACTATACACATGGATTTCACCTAATGGTACACACAGGAATTAGATTGATTACATCTGTGGAAGGAATCGTTGGAGAAGGTCAGTGTCAGCAGTGAAAACTATCAACTACTCATATGCAAGTTCAAATTAAAGCTAAAGAAGGTCAAATCCACAAAATCAAAATTTGACCTTGAGGCTATCCCACCTGAATTTAAAAACCAACTTAGAAACAGGTTTGAGGCCTTGAACACTAATAAACAAAGACTAGAAGAGCGGTGGGAGGATATCAAGAGTATCATCCACAAAGAATGCAAAAGGTCATTACATGAAAAGAAGACACTTCAGAAGACAGAAAAGACATTACAAAGACCAAAATGGATGTCAGAGGAGACTGAATCTTTCACTAGAGTGCCAAGAAGCCAAAGCAATGGGAAGACATAAAGAAGTTAAGGAGCTGAATAGAAAATCCCAAAGGGCAGCGCAGGAAGGCACAGCAAAGTGTAATGAAGTGTGCAAAGAGCTGAAGTCAGAAAATCAAAAGGGCTGAACTCAGCATTTCTTATGGTGAAATGAAGAACAAATTAAAGCTTCAAGTCTCTAAATACTTAAGGATGCTATAGGTAGACTATTGAATGATCCAGGAGGTATGAGTCTCAGGCACATAATAATGACGACCTGTAAAGTAAATTATCTTTGAAAATAAAGTTTCATTTTGGTTTGGTTTGGTTTTGAACATTTAATGATTGCTTTGAAAGTTGACAGAGAAAAATAAAAACTGTTTTAAAGAATGTATCCTAAGCAACAAATTACAGAGTTGTAGTTCACTTGGTGACTCCTAACAACAACAGCAATTAAGACACTAGAAAAGATCTATATTTGTGCCCATTAAAAAAAAGATGATTCAGCAAAATGCAGAAATTAATGAACAATATCATGGACACATTCAAGTAATTGAGAATGGCTGGTGCAGTACATAGACTGAGGACTGCTAGAAATTCATTATGGATTCAGAAGAGGATGTAGTACGAAGACTGTCATTGCTGATGTCAGGTAAATTTTAGCTGAAAGCAAGGAATACCAGATATTTTGGTTGTTGTTGTTAGGTGCCATTGAGTCAAGTATAACTCATAGTGACCCTATGAACAACTGATCTGAATCCTGTTCTATCCTGTACCAGACTCACCATCTCTGCCACACTTGAGCTCATTGCTCCAGTCACTGTGTCAATACCATCTCGATTGGTCCACCTCAAGAAAACAAAGGTCCTTATCACTGGGGAACATCATGATAGATGGATAAAGAATTGAAACTGTTAATTATTTCATCTTACTTGGATCCACAGTGAACATCCTTGGTACCAGCAGTGAAGATATACTTGCTTTGGGCAAGTCCACTATTACCAGTCCACCATCTCATTGGTCTTCTGCTTTGCTGACCCTCTACCTTTCCAAGCAACATGTTTAAAGTATGAGAGACAAAGCTTCACCATCCATGCTTTTAAGGAGCACACTGGCTGCACCTTTTCTAAGACATAACCTTTTCACTTTTTGGCAGCCCATAGGATATTCAGTACTCTTCTCCAACACTACAACTCAGAGGCATTGATTCTTCTATCATCTTTGTTCATGGTCCAGTTCTCAGATACAAAGCAGGAATGGAAAAATACCATGGCCTGAATCAGACTCAACTTAGTCTTCAAACTGACATCATTGCTCATCAGTATTTTGGAGAGGTCCCTTACAGTGGACTTGTCCAAAGCAGTATGTCTCCATATCTCCTCCACTGCTGGTACCACAGGTGTTAATTGTGAATCCAAGCAAGATGAAATAATTCAGTCAAGGGAGCTCTGGTGGCCTAGTGGCAAGACACTGCACTGCAAATCCAGAGGTAGGTGGTTCAAATCCACCAGATGCTCTGCTGGAGAAGGAGGGGGCAATCTCCTCCTGTACCAGTCAGATCTGATTTGACGGTACACGTAAAATAATACAATAAAAAAAAATTTAAAAAAAGAAAAAAGAAATAATTCAGTCTCAATCCTTCCTCCATCTATTATGATGCTTCCCAGTGATAAGGACTTTTGTTTCTTTATGTAAAGATGCAAACAATATTGAAAGCTTTAGTCTTTGATCTGCAAGAAGCACTTCAGGTCCCACTCACTTCCTGCAAGCAAAGTTGTCATCTGCCTAACACAGGTTGTTTATGAGTCTTCCTCCTATCCTGATGCCACATTCTTCTTCATAGAGTCCATCTTTATGAGTTACTTGCTCAACATACAGACTTAATAGATGTGGAAAAGGGATATACCCCTGATACACATCCTTCCATATTTTAAACAATTACGTGTTCCCTTGTTCCATTTAGACAACAGCCTCTTGGTTTAGGTATAGATTTTGTATTAACACTGTTGTCTGATATGAGCAAGGCCGAAAGAAGACTAGGAAAGTAAAATGTGGTTTTTCGAGAGAGTTAAGAGCTCACCTAGGCAAATAGCCCTGAGCAGTGTCAGAGCCCCTGCTTTTATTAGCATTCAGAAACAAATAGTTCACAAAGAAATGGAAATGTTAAAGATTACTTCATAGGGCCAGTATGGACCAATTACACTGATAGATAAAAGACATATATTCAAGCAAGACTTCTTTGTATTAATAAACTGTGTTACTGTATTTTCTTATATTCATAACAACTTTATTAGGAACAAGAACATCTCCTTCTATCTCTGAGAGAGTATGTGTCCCAGTATGTACAAAGACTGCTTGCAGTCCTCTTTCTTAGCACACCTTGCATGCAGGTCACACAGCCAAGTCCTAAAGACACATATCTCTTGCCTTGAAGTAATGCTACAAAACACAATTAAATGTTCTGGGATTCCCATTCTTCTTAATGTTAGCCATAGTTGGTGTGACTATGCCTTTGCATAGTCACTAAAACACAGACATTCTTCTGATAATCTCTGCTTTCATCCAGGATCCACTGGACATCAGCAGTGTTATCCTTTGTGCCATGGCTTCTTGTAAACCCAGTTGATGAATGTTTACTTGTGTTTTAATTATTATTTAAAGATATTTGACTAGGTGGATCATAGTAAATTATGGCTAATCTTCAGAAGAATGGGAATTTCAGAACTCTCAATTGTGCTCATATGAAAGCTATAAATAGTCCAAGAAATAGTCATCCAAACAGCACAAGGGTATACTGTATGGTTTAAAATCATGAGAAGTGTGTGCCAAAGTTGTATTCTTTCACCATATTCAATATAGAAGTAGTTCTGGTGGTGGTATCTATACAGAGCTGCACAGCTAACCCAAAGGCCAGGCCTCTCTGGAAGTTTGAATCCACCAACAGTTCTGAGAGAAAGATGGGGAATTTCATTCTTTGCAGGTTACAGTCTCAGAAACCCACTGGATGGTCAGCTATGAGTCAGTTCCAGCTCTGTGTCAGTGAGAGCTTTCATTTAGTATCTGCTCTGGAAGACTCATCAACCTATCATGTATAGATGAAACAACTTTGCTTGCAGAAAACAGGACTTGAAATACTTGTTGAAGCTCAAAGACTCATCACTTCAGTATCAGGAAAACAAAAATTCTCACAACTGGACCAATATATAATATCATCATAGAGATTGATGTTGTCAAGGATTTCACTTTACTTGGATTCATAATCAGTGTCCATGAAAACAGTCAAAACCCCAAAGGACAGATTGCATGAGCACAACTGTAGCCAAGGACTGTTTAAGTGTTAAAGAGCAAGGATGCTGCTTTAAAAGCTTAGTTGCAGCAGATTCAACCCATTGTAGTTTCACTTGCTTCCTATGCATGCAAAAATTAATAAGGGGAAGCACCATACACACAGCCAGTGGGAGGAAGTGCCCCACACGTCACCTGAGTGTACTCTACTGACGATTTTGAAAATGATTCAGGAGGATTTTGCCCTACACAGGAAGCTGAAGGATGGCCTAACTGAGCATCGCTCAGAGCCTGCCACCTCACAGTCTACCTTCAGACAACCTTGCTTTGAGTCCTTGTTCTAATGCCATTTTAAAATTTTCAACCTTGAGTGGGTCTGTTCACCACTCTGGAGGCCCCTTCTCCATTTATGGAAGGGAAAGTAATAATACCTACTTTGAGTTACAATTAGACCACTTGGTGGAGTGGAAGGGGACAGTGATGGTGGCACTAGAGCCAGAAGTGCTGTCCTTGACCACAGTCCCTGGTAGGACACAAAGTGTGGACCTCTGAAGAGATTCAGGAGGCAGAATCTCCAGACCCCTAAGGAGAGCC